GCCAGGCGGGAGGAGCGCCCGCTGCCTCTGAGCCCACCGGGTCCCCAGCCCTCCTGCAGCTGCCACCCAGGGAGAGGGGCACCGATGGGCACCGATGGGCGCCGATGGGCACCGGTGGGCCAGCCGTGCCCTCTGCCCGCGCCCCTCCCAGGCGGTGCAGGCGTTTCCATCAGCCCCACCCCGGGCTCCTGCAGTCAGACTCCCAGCGCAGCCATCAGGCCCCGCGAGGCCCAGATCCTCACCCGCCGGCCAGGCTCACCTCTCCCCACCCTGGACGTCCTTGGGCTCCTCCGGGCCCTGTCCTGTTTGCACGAAACACCCTCCCTCCCCCTGGTCCTTCTCAGCCGAGCTACTGGAAACATCAATTTAAAAAGTCACCAGATGAGATCATTCTCTGAACCCTGGACCGCAGCCTCCTGCCTCCTGCCCGCACCACAGCGGGCTCTGCAGTGTGTGAGCAATCACACTGCCCAGTCGGACTGCCCAGCCTGGACAGACACGGTGACCCTGCAGGAGGTGACCAGGCGCTGGCTCTCTCCTGCCTCGATGTCCACTGGGGCCAGCGTCCCGTGGTCCACTGGTCCCCTGTCCTTGCTCTCTTCACAGCCCAGGGCTGGCAGGAGTGTTGTCCTCACCTTGTGTGCGGGTGGGGAAGCTGAGGTCCAGGTCCAGGCCCGAGGCCCGAGGCCGGAGTGGGGTGTTGCCAGGGCTGGCGCCAGCTCTTCTGAAGCTCCCCCTGCCCCGTGTCAACCTGGGTGGGGAGTGAGGGCAGCACTGTGGTCCTCAGGGTGCAGCATGGCAGCCCCCAGGCACACAGCATTACCTGGTGCCCAGACTGTCCCGAGTCCTGACCCCAGACCTGTGAACATGGAAACTTACAGGTAAAAGGAACTTCACAGACGTGTTAAGACTCTTGAGATGGGCAGGTGGCCCTGGGGGATGGTTATGCCGTGGAGCCCAGTAAGCACAGGGTCCTTACCGAGGGAGGCGGGGGGAGGGGGAGGGGAGAGGAGAGGGGAGAGGGGCTAAAGGTGACGGAAGGAGACCTGACAGGTGGTGACACACAGTACAACATGCAGATGATGTGTTGTAAGACTGTACACCTGAAACACATACAATCTCATTAACCAATGTCACCCCAATCAGTGCAATAAAAATAAATTGTTTTAAAAGAGGGAGGCAGCCCTGGCTAGAGTGGCTAGAGCATCGGCCCGCAGGCTGAAAGGTCGCGGGTTAGATTCCCAGTCAAGGGCACCTACCTGGGTTCACACACCTGCGTTGCAGGTGCAGGAGGCAACCAATCAATGTCTCTCTCTCTCTCTCTCTCTCTCCTCCCTCCCTTCCACTCTCTCTAAAACAGCGGTTCTCAACCTGTGGGTCGCGACCCTTTTGGCGGTCGACCGACCCTTTCACAGGGGTCGCCTAAGACCACCCTGCATATCAGACATTTACATGACGATTCATAACAGTAGCAACATGACAGTTATGAAGTAGCAACGAAAATAATGTTATGGTTGGGTCACAGCATGAGGAACTATATTTAAAGGGCCAGAAGGTTGAGAACCACTGCTCTAAAAGATCAATGGAAAACAATATCCTGGGAGTTAGGAGGCTCAGAGACTGAGAGAGGATGGAAGATGGGAGCAGGGGTCGGGTCATGTGGGGCCCGGCCTGAGGGATGCCGGCAGCCTTGAGAGGCCGAAAAGGCAAAGCAATGGTCTTCCCTGAACCCCCAGAGGAACACAGCCACCTCCCCGCCCCGAACTGTGAAAGAATGAACGGACTATAACTCTGTGTCCATATACCACAGGACACTCATATACCTGGTGACCCCACTCAGGAGGTGCTCCGTGGGTGAGTCAAGACTCAGAGGAGGCGGCAGAGGGGTCCCCAACATTGGGTGCTCGGCCCTGGCAGAAGGAGGGAGTGAGGGCAGCCCAGGTTGCTGATAGGTGACCCCTGCTCCTCGGGTCAGTATCTGGCCAGACAGACGGGGCATGACATGGGTACCAGCCAAGGTTCAGGCCTCCACGTGGATGGGCAGGGCAGGCAGCTGTTCAAGGTGAACATGCTTCACCAGCTGGGAAGACTGGCCAGCGGGGCCGGTCCCCATTAAAGTGGGGGTGCAGGGGCCGTGAAGTGGGGTGCAGTGTGGTCAGGAGAAAGAGCCCTCCCAGGCCCCTCAGGATGGACACCTCGGCCTATCCCTGAGCCCCAGCCCTGCTGCATAGGGTGGGGGTAGCTGTGGAGGTCCAGATCCGCCCCCCATACACTGTGCCCCTCGGGGTGGGCAGGGCCAGGCCAGGGACAACGGCAAGAGCTATTTTTGCTTATGCTGCTGCGGCTGCTGCAAAGAAGCATCAATCATTGATGCTCTCGTGTCCCTGCTGCCTGGAGAGGCGGAGAGCCCAGTCCGGTGGGTGGGGGCTCTGCCCAGAGCCAGGCCTGCAGAGATGTGGCTGGAGCCCCAGCTCCTCGCCCCGCCTCCAACAGTGCCCTGCACCCCAGTCCCAGCACCCAGGTGCCCAGCCCTGGGAGGCTGCAGGCAAGCCTGTACCCCGACCCACGGGCCAAGGCCAGGGCTGGGTGTGGTCCGGGGCCCCAGGCTGGAGGCCCTGGGGGGAGGTGGGCCTGTTTGTCAGTGGGGAGAGCACTGCAGGACCCGCCCGGCCCCCACCCAGGGGGTCAGAAAGTTCAGAGGTAGAGAATGCTTCAGGTGAATTTGTTCAGGACTCTCCCTGTAATTTTCTATTATGCTCTCAGCTTTGTCCTTCTCTGTGCATCAGCTGCTTCCTCAGGCTGGTTCTCCTCATGGTGACAAAGTGATTGCAGCGAGTCCAGCCCTCACAACTACATTTCACACAATCTAGAACAGGGAGAGCACTTGTGTCCTGGAATTCCCAGTCAAAGTTCGAGATTCCCTCACTTTGCCCACCCCTGTGCCAATCTCTGCAGCTAAGTTTACATCTTTAGTTTTAAGCATCTCTAAGCCACTTGCACCCTCAAATGGAATTAGGGCCATGGTAAAGGGCAAGAGGGGCAGGGAGGGGTCCACAGGAGGAGGCAGGGCCTGTCCGCTGGCCTGGGGGCAATAGCCAACTTCTGGGCAGTCTCCCTCTGCACACTGTGGGGTGCACTGCCCGTGGAGCCAGGGGCTCCCAGGGGTAAAATGGGGCCCACATGGCCCTAGGGCAGCGGTTCTCAACCTGTGGGTCGCGACCCCTTTGGTGGTCGAACGACCCTCTCACAGGGGTCGCCTAAGACCATCCTTCATATCAGATATTTACATGATGATTCGTAACAGTAGCAACATGACAGTTATGAAGTAGCAACGAAAATAATGTTATGGTTGGGTCACAGCATGAGGAGCTGCATGTAGATGGCCAAAAGGTTGAGAACCCAGTAGTGGGTACTGGGGGTGAGCACAGCAGGTGATGTATGCCTCTGCTTCAGAGCAGGCAGGAGAGGAGAAGGGGCAGCCCTGGGGTGGGGGTCCCTGCCCCCCATCCTGAATCTGGGGCCCCAGGGACCACCCAACTGCACAGGGGCCAGCAGTGCGTGGCTCAGCCCCTTCCTCGGTGCTCAGGCCAAGCAGCCCCAGCCTCTCACCAGGCCCCCCCTCCCCCCGGAGCTGCTGGGCGTGCATCCTGCTTGACAATCAGGATGTGCCACTTGGTCACCTGGAGTGAGGCTGCTTCATTTGGGTGGGGGCCCAGGGTCCCCACAACTTCACCAAGGTCACATGCCAATGGGGACACAGAGCTGTGCCCCAAGGACTCCTAAGACTGCCCGTGTCCCCCGGCACCCACAGCCAGATGGATGGGCTGAGACCCCCTGACAGACCTGCACAGACGCCGGACTTGACTCACTGCGGGCAGAGGAAGGCGGGTCTGGGGGGGGGGGGGGGGGGGCAGGGTCTCTGGCCCAGGGCTGCTGCCCAGCCTGAGAGAAGACTCCAAGGCAGGAGGGGTGAGACCGTGGCCGTGTCCCCTCCTGAAGGACAGGGCTGTGCCCATCACGCCATGGGCTGGAGGCGCAGGAGGCTGCCAGGGCCTCTTCCCGGCAGGGAAGCCG